AACACCCGCGAAAACCTCAGAAAACACACACACACATATATATGTATGTATGTATGTATGTATGTATGTATGTATGTATGTATGTATGTGTATATATATATATTATTTATTATTTAAAGCTTTTCTTTTTGGGTTAGAAAATCAACAGTTGATGTCCTGGGAAAGTTGGAATCAAATAACAGAACTGCCTATGAAAAAAAGGAACCTACTTATCACTATTATAATCCCATAATGTGCACACACAAACACACATAACACAGACCCACAAATTTCATCAGAAAATTGAGGGTTTTTAAAACACTTTGGAGTCAGAATTTTATGAGCTAAAAGCTTCATGAAATCTGCTCAAAGGACCATCCAGATATTCTGTTAACTACAAAAATATAGCACACTTTTATCAAATTGTGTGTTTCAAGGAGACCCCAAGAAAACCGCTACTAACACAGTTGCTACATAGTATAAAGTTAAACGGATTTCTGTAAATTTGAATGTATAGTTTCTATTTGTGTACAGTTCTTTACATAATTTAAATAAAATAGTGAATGCGGCAGATACCAAATTATGAATAACCTTTCAGTACTTCGTAAAACCTCCAAACATTTCCTGTAGCACAATGAGAATTTTTCTATTCTTGTTTATCATTGTTTCTCCCCCTCTTCCTTGCAAAATTCTTCTAGCTCAGAAATATTCGTAGGTCTCCTTGCATCCATTGAATATTTGAGGTCTCAGTGACATTGAAATCTGGGGCCATGAAGGCCATTCCAAAACTTTTTTTTTTCCTTTCCTGCAACTATTTTAAGGTTGAAATAGTTTTTAGTTTTAGTTTCTTCACTGGATTAGGACATTAACTTCAAGGATAAGGTGATATTCTTCCCTTCCCTCACATAATATTTTCTCTGCCACTGGCTGCCATTCACCCCCAAAATATAGTAGAAACATCTTCATGCTTGACAATTAGCAAGATACTCTTTTTAAAAATTTCACCTTTCTCTCTCTCAATGTTTCTTGTGTAGTTGTGATCAAACAGTTCAAATTTTGTTTCATCTGCCCAAAATACTTTGTCAAAAATCTTTCAATTTGATCAGTTTTCATTTGCATATCATTTCCCTTAATTTGGTTGCTGTATACTAGGGGTGTCATACTCGATTTCATTGAGGGCCGCATCAAGGTTGTGTTTGATCTCAGGGGGCCAGGATGGATGGCCCAGCTCGACATCACTTGTGTTGGGGGTACCTATGATGGCCCAAGTGCTTTCCCAGAGAAAATGGGCTCCCAAGCTCCATTTTCAGCTGTGATGGCCTTCTGCAACCCTCAGGAAAGCCACCTGCAGCCCTCCCAAGCTCTGTTTTCGCTGGCAGAGGCGTTGTGGGTCAGTGCTTTACTGTTTCTTGGGCAGCCCCATGGGCCAGATCTAAGCACCCATGGGCTGGATCTGAGCACCCTGTGGGCCAGTCTGGCCCCCAGGCCTCGCGTTTGACACACCTGCTGTATACTGATGACAAATACCAGCCTTTAAATCTGTATCCACAAAAGCTCATAAAGCTGGTAGCTTAGAAGAAAGTAAAAGATTTTTCAAACATTTTAAACTTGGAAATCAAAAGAGATAGGTTAAAAAAGCAAAAGCAAATTCTGTTCAGTGAATAATTTCAAGTGATAATAAACAATAGTGAAAATACCAAATATTTATCAATCGCTTGAAGTGGTTGAGGCAACTTTTATGTAGGTGCTATAATGTTTCTATTTTTCTTCTCTCTGTCTTCTATAGAATATATTCTCTAATATGTTTTTAACAGTCTATTTCTCCATTGAAGTTTTAGTGGGTTTAAATAAGGATAAGGTGAATTTATCCAATGATAACTTTATCTTTGAAAAGCATCTTGCTGTTTTATTAGCTAAAAAGGTATCTGACCATAAGCTGTCTTGCTGTAATTATAAAGCAAATAAAATAAAAGAAATGAATAGAGGCAGCGAGGTGTAAGTTAATTAATTTTGCAAGAAAAACAAAAAAACCTTAATCCTTTGCTGTAAAACAGCTTATTTTTTATTTGAAGAATGGCACATGCTATGGAACAATGAGATAGAACGCTTAAAATGTAAGATTAGACAGGTCTTCAGAGACCATATTTATTTATAGACATTATTGCTGAGTTTACATTCAACCCAGTTGTAAAGTTTAATTTAACTTATCAGATATACCACTGCTGGTCCAGTGCTAATTCGGTTATTTTGAATCTTGTAAATAAAACAAATACAAGTGTTGAAAAATAACATACCTACTAACTGGGTTTCATGAGCAAAATTATCTCAGGTCACACAGTGGTGGGATTCAACCAGTATAACAACCAGTTTGCTGAGTACGTTCTGCACACACACAGTGTGTTTGAAAACAGCCCTAAAACTTACCTTCTACTGCAGCCCCAGTGAGTAAAACAGCTGAGGTGTGGCAACCCACTCAACAAAGGAAATATGAGACAGACTAGCGCAGGAACAGGTGGGTGGGACCAACTGATTGCCGGACCTACCGGTTTGCCTGAACCGGTCCAAAAACAGCTGAATCCCACCCCTGCCAACACATTTTGAAAGCATTCAATTAGTGGAGGTGGCATTACATAAACCAGAGTGTCCAGGAATTTTGAACTAGGCTGATTCTACTCTAATTTTTAATGAAAAAACAATGAAAACAAAGCATACAAACTTTCCCAGGTTTCATGCTGATATTCTATTACATGGAAGCATACTAGCACCTTGTGGGGTACTATATAGTAGTGGTCAATGTGTCAAATAGAATCTATTCAACATGAAACAGCCTTTGAGGAAATGCAGCCAAATATTATTTGGTTTCTTTTCAGAAAGATGAACCAGTAGAATACTATTGGTTAAGAACTAAGAAATCCAGCCAAACTTAACAGAATTATATTCTCCTTGTCTAATTCCCAGCACAGCTCCATCAAAGTGACTAAAGCTGACTCCTTCATATAACTAGATGCAAATCAAGACTGAAATGAATCAGGATTCCTCTTGATTAATGATCAGTTATCAAGATAAACAACTAACACTCTAAACAGGCTCCTTGAT